CTGTAAACAGGGGAACCTGTGTGTTGAAAAAAGTGAAAAGAAAATCGTAAACATAGTGAAATTCCCTCAAATGCTTCTAAGCTGGTGATTACTCTTCACTTTCAGCAAATCTCATCAGTGTCATGGCTGCTTTGAACCCGGCAGTAAACTTCTCAGCCGTGGTTTTTGCAGCGCGGATCTTCTCAACCTGCTCAACCATACTGTTCAGAAGTTTTTTGATTTTTAGGATCTTGGATCCAGTTTATGATATCCTTGTACTCTGTGGGTGGGTTTTCTAATTTTTTCTTTACTCTATCACTGTAGAGAGGTTTCATCTGGGTTTCATCTGTCTTCCTCTGTTTCGATGAATTTCGGAAAATCTGCCGGCGTAGGGATCTTAGCTGCTGGCTTCGCCTGCTGCTTCTTTGCTTCATGTACACGGGGCAACCCCTGTATGAACTTACATGCGGTAGTGAGCAGAAGATGCACTTAGGTTTTTCTTCTGGCTTTAGAGGGCATTCTTTACTTCTATGGTGCTGTCCACACTTGCAGCATCGCTCAGGATTTGAGCAAAGATGTTGCGAATGTCCATATTCTTGACATCTATAGCATTGAATTACGCCTTTTTTCGGGGCAAACTTCTCGATCTTGACATTAACACTTAACATATCGTTGAGTCCATGAATTGCACGTCCTTCCTTCGTTTTCTTCAGCTCCAACAGGAAAATCGGAAGTTTCTCGATAGCGTCTCCTATTCGTCTGGAAAACTGCTTGACTTTACTTATCGGGAATTTCCTTCTCCAGATCTGCCTGGATTATTTTTTTTCCTTCATCGTCGATGGGAGGCCCTTAAGAACAACCTTAATAGGTTTTCGCTGAGTAACTGGAAAGTTATGAAATGGTATATTTCTTTTTCTGCAAAAACCAGAGTTGCTTTTCTGTAATCGTCTACTGACTTTAAATTAACATATAGTAGTTTCATTTTCATATCGGTTTCGAATTCTTCACTGCAGGTATTGATAAGGATTTCATGAATTTTTAGGCCAATCCACTTCGCTTTGCTGGAAAACTATTGGGGGTGGAGTTTCCTCTTTTTCGGCTCCTCCTTCTTCTTCCATACCTTCTACTTCACTTAGCTGCTCAAATCGATTTTCCGTCGTAACTTCCATTGAGCTTCATTTTCTGATACTTTCGCGGTTTTCTTTTTTTAGGAGAAATCCATTCTTATTCCTTATCCCTGCTGTCTGTTCCTCTTTCAGTTATCTGCCCTGGATAAAATTTTTTCGTGAATGTCTCTACATCCATCTAACCCTTAGTTCTTTTATGAAAGTAATTGCAAATTACGCCAAATCCAAATTTCGCAATCTGGTCCCGGATTTCTTCTTCAGAACATGACTTGAATTTTGGGATGTCCTCATCATTTCCCATTGATAAATCTTCTGGTGTCTGTTCATCATTAGCTTCTCCATTCGGTGTTTGAATGTCTCTTTTTTCCTTACCAGGTTTTACATCTTTCTTTTTACTTGGTTGTTCGCTTTCCCTATCTGACATAGTTTTCGCCTTTTTCGCTTTACTTTTCTTTTCTTTGGCCATAAGGATGAAATTCTCTTTCTTCAATGGATAGGTCTTGTTGGTTTTGGACGAACGCTCGCTTCGGTAGTCCTCTTCATCAGAACTATCGAATGGTGTCCTATAAAAGGACATTTTTGTTTTTCGGTTTCGCAAATCAATGACTTATTAATAGACACAAAAATTTTTGACAACAGCGTACGTTTAGAACTCCCAGTAGACGGTACTCGAACTTATTTATTTATTTATTTCTTATTCACCGCAGGTATACAACTACATTGAGTTTTGACCTGTTCAATCTGTGCAACCTATGAAGGCCATTCACGGATTTTAGTACATTAAGGTGCTACTGCACCTCGCCCGGGGGGGTGACATTAGAACAAGGTGCAATCATTCCGTGGCGAAGTCAAGCTGAATATACGAAAATTGGGAAATTAGTACTTGGAAAACAAAATCATCCAGCATTCAAGTCCATGCATGATGCATTCGGTCAGGATAGTAGCGTAAGGTTACTGAGATAGGGTGCGCAGTCCAGCAGCGAATCAGGAGTAGAACCACAGCAGTGGGCGTGGTGAGATCACACAATACACAGTCCTTAACACATTAATTAATTCAGAGTCTCTAGCCTGCTTCCAAGCAAATAGCCAATTTTGGCAGTAATACAGTACTTGGTTAAATAAGGATAGATAGAGCACAAAACACAATTTCATATGTACACTATTTACATATTTACATCACCACTGTACTCGAACTGAGAAGTTTTCCTCCTTTTATAAGATTTTTAAATAGCGTGCGAGAATTTTCTGGTACTTTCTCGAAATCAAAAAGACATATTTATTTATTTAATGTTAAATGCACGTGCTCTCGTATTTTTAATTTTCCAGCTTAGCTTTCTTCTTTTAATATTCGTCACGCGCTGTACTGCGCGGGAAAATTGGTTATCAATTAGCGGTAGATCTAGACCTTGTTCAAGAAATGAATTTAATGTGTGTGCTTTTGTGTCCTCTTGAATGCTGTGACTTCTCTGCATATCTTGAACGTGACAGGATAATTGATGAATTGATGAGATGCCCACTGCCCATATCAGAGCCATTGCTTATGAAACTACTGAGAGAAGATATCCCAGTAACCTCTGGATCCATGTTTACACTGATCGATCCATGATTAAGCGAGGTACTGCAGCTGATGCAGGAATCTATTGCAAACCATTTTGCATTCTATAAGGCAGAAGGAAGAGAAACTATCAAATTTTGATGATGAGTTGAGGCTATATTATTGCGCGCTCGGAAAGAAATATCCCTCGGGCTGTTATTTTGTCTGATAGGCTGTCTCCAATAGCAAAGTTTTCACTTTCGGACTAATTTATGAATGTAGAAAGGTTATCAACACTAAATTGTCTCGTAGTGGATTCCTGCTCATTGTGGCATCGAGGGAAATGAAAGAGCCGAATTCCTGGCAAAAAAAAAAGGAACTATTTTACGTATACAAGCCACTAATAACCATATGACTTTTAATTCTGCAAAACTTCTAATTAAATTAGAATTTAAGAGGATGTTTGCCTCATACATATCAAATGAAGCTGAGGGAAAGGCCTGGGAGTGTCTCACTAGTTCAAAGCCCGTTATTCCAGATTTTCCTCGTCTTGTAGCTGTGGCGTTATTTAATCTTCTCACTGGGCAATATTGCTTGAATGCCCATCTTTTTGAAATTCGACTTAAGGACTGTTCAGTCTGTACTCTTTGTAAATCTGGACAGTCTATGGATAAAGAGCATATTGAGGAATGCACTGCACTATTATCTTTTAATTCTATTGTTCTTAAGTATTGGGAAGCAAGATCAAGACTAATGGCTCAGTGGCCGAATATCTGGCGTTTTTATAAATAAATATGACAGCAGGTAAATTTTCTGTTCCTGGAAGAATAGAAGAGGAAGCCTTTGGAAGGATCTAATTTAATACGGTGGATGAAAATTGTTACTTGTACACAACTTTTCTTTTGTGCTCAGTTCACAACTTGGATTTCGGAGGACGACGCATATGATGAAGAAAAGCTGCAGAATATTAACAAAAAATTTTCGAACTACAAAACAATGAACAAGGATTAATCACCTGAATTTAAAGGGGCTGTATACCTTCGAACTCTTTTTTTTAATTTTTTAAGTTTGTGCATTTAATTTGGCTTTAAAGTAATTAATGATGAAAAAAAGAAGAAGCTGATTATTTAATCACCATTAACTTTCTATTTTTGGAGTAAAGTAAGGAAACAGGAAAATAAAACAGCAATATTTACAATAAATTAGAAACGCTGTGTTAAAAATTGTATAATATATTTTCATACTTTGTAAAATGCAAACCCATCATAATGATATTCTCAAGGAGGTTGACTATTATTTTAAAACTAAGAAGTTATTTAAATTTTTTAAGCTAGAATGTGTAATATAACAAAGAAAAAGCATATTTTCTCATTAAAATTCATGTTTAACACATAATAACTTTATAGAAAATGCATTTATTCAATTAGTAAATAGTCTATCTCTTTACATAAAGTGTTCGAAACATGTATACCAAATTTCATAAGATTTCAAATATAAATTTTAAAGATATTGTGTTTCTTGTTAGGATTAAAACACGAAAAATAAAAAAAATGAGATAAAACGCATTTAAAGAATTCAAACACTCGATTATCTACTTTTAATCAGTTTCTAAACTTAAACTCCCCCTGATTTTTTTTAACTAATGCCGTTTTGTTTTTCAGAATTCCCCCCCCCCTTTTTTTTTTTTCTTTTTTTGCAGGTTTTAAAATTTTTCTCTGCTTTTAAAGTTAAAAGCCAATCAGGGAATGTCGTTTTGCTTAATCGACACGGTTAACATCAAACCTTTCAGACTCGTTTGCAGTGTAGTAACCAATATCTATACCTAATTTACCATATCTATACCTAACTAATACCAATTATCTATCTACACCTATAAAACTTAATGAATATTACTTAGTAATAATTAAAAAATATTGCTAATCAGCAATGTAAGCACAGAATCAAAACACGAGCGAAAATGCGTTAGTGAATTCATAACACACAGCTTCAAAATATGCTAGAACTTTGTTTTGTTGCTTCCATAAAAATACTTTTTGGTGTTTTTAAAATGCAATTAAATAAGCCCCGAAAATAAAAGTAAACAACTCTGACACATCCTCTTCGTCCTTTTAAATATTTACGTCTTGTACACTTACGGTATGCTTTTCGAGGACAAGGTGTCAAATAAAGTATCACAACTCCGGTTTAAATGAACGTAGGAACAAAAATTCAAACAGGTTTGGAAACATAGTAAATAAGACTTTCATCGGGTATAAGAAAAAAAAACAGAAAAAGAGTTTTTTGACTAGAATCTCGGTTTCTAAGGTATACAGCCGCAAAGGAGAAATTTATTGAAATGGAGACTCACTAGCTTCTGAAATTGATAGAATCCAACATGAATGTGAAATGGCGATCATTCTTCCTCAAATGATGCTTAGAGGCAATTAATAAAACTTTTAGAAATTTCTCGCAAATACAGGTTGTTAGCAAAATATCAAAGATTCCATCTTCAATTTTTTTCTTTTTAGAATCTCACCAAATGCTTTAACATAATTAGTTCTTATATAAATTATGAATTGCAAATGAAATTTACATAAAATGAAATTATCTAAATGAAGGCTTTGACTCAACTTACAGTTTCATTTCTTCCTCCCCCCTGACAAAATATTCTTTCTATTTTCTTGAGTGAAAGCTGCAAAATTCACGACACATGCACTCTATCTTTATTTACCTGGATCTGTGTTTTTGCTGTTCGTCGTCATATGGATAGCATAATGCAATAGACCACAAAATATGCACAACACTCCAGCCCAAAAAAGAGTCTTTCGTCCACCCAGAAAGGTGAAACCAAAACCACCTAGTAAACTTCCTGCTGCGATACCTATAAAATAAGTGTATGATAATAAGAGAAACAATTAAAAGCTGAAATAACAAGGTGGCAAAAACAGATGAAATATGCTGATTTATGTAAAACTTTTAACATTTTTGTAACTTAGTAAACTTTTGTCATTTAGTAAACTGTAGTAAACTGAATTAAAATACTAAAATCAATAAATAAAAAACAGAAAGTTTAAATAAAAATTAGCAAGCAAGTATTTAAACATTTTACTGCATGGAAATAAAATAAAATTCTAATTAGATTGAAGTTTTAAATAACCAGCATTTGACATTCGTTAAAGGCTGATTTTAAGCATAGGAAAATTCTTTTATGAAACATATCTAACAGCTGTAATAATTTTGAAAATATGGTTATGCTGTAAGGTTTTTATATTAATTAGTACAGATATCACATTATTTACTGTAATATCCAGATATAACATTATTTTACTGTAAGATTGTACTTGATTCTTTTCACTATCATACAAGTGACTCAGTCTTAACAGTAAGCCTGGCGACTTCTCGCACAGGCGTGAAGAATAATATCATAGAAGAAAGTGTGTAAATAGCCCTTTTATTCTCAAACTCTTTCTCAAAAAGTTACGTACTTTAGACTCACAACAGCACCAACTGCTTGCCGTGAGAACTTAAGGATAATTTAATAATAAATTCAAAAGGGTAAATAGTAGTGCTAGACAGCACAATTTACTTAAGGCTAACAGGCTGACTCAGCAGCCTACACTGGCGATAGACTTAGAAAACGGGCAGAATGTGTAGCCGCAAGTAAGATTAACAGCTGGAAGAAATTAAAATAGTTGGTTATTCAAATTAAGGGAAATTCTACATAGTATCATTTCAATTTTCGTCATCTTTAAACAGAATGTAAATTATTTAATATATATAATATCATAGTTCTTGAGTTTGGGAGACATTCTTTGGCAGCTAAAGCTAAATAGTTTCTTTGTTACACCTCTCTGCTAATAAACTGATTTATCGGCTTTAGCTTTGCCAGTCTCATTTGATTCATGAATATAGAACCGATGTAGAGCTTTAGATGCATGTTACTTTACATTCTTTATGAATGGAACATTTGTTATACGTCTACTACAAGTAGCAGATATTAAGTTTCTGTTATAGTATAGTTACAAAAAAGGCTGAAGTGAGAATAAACAGATTTACTTTAAATAATCCCTTAAATTTACCATTTTAGAAAGTAAGATGGGTTATAAATTGTCTGTCTTCTTTTACGGCTGGCATTTAACAGTATACAACATTCTTAAAATGAGTCCTGAAATTTAACTTTGAATTTAAAATTAAGATTCGTCTTGTATCATGGTCCTGTTAACGCAATCCGAGATCCCAATAATGGCGCTCTTTAAGTGCCTTGTAGTACTGTGCTCTTTAGTGGCTTGTAAATATTTGCATTACTTTTATGGAGAAAACAATATCATGAAGAGTTTTTAGATGATTTGAAACCCTCTAAAAATTAGAGCATTACCTTCGTCTTTGTGAATTTAGACAGTAATCCGGATCTGTCTTTGGTTTTCTTAAAGTAAAATTACTTGAAATGAAGAATAAACGGCACTCATTTCATTGATCTTATTTTATTCTTCATACCACAGACATCACACACATACTTATATATAGTATTTTAAATTATTTAATGCAAATCATTTAAAACAAATACAAAACTCCCCTTGTTTCAGAAAGTATGCCACGAGGCTCACAAATGTAAGCAAATAACTCAGTAATACAAAACAGATATAATACAGCAATAATGTATAATATCTAGCTATGGAGAGAATAAGGAATATACTATAATAATAATATAGATACTATAATAAGGATGCTAAAATATACTATAAATAATAAAGTTATCATAATAGTACTACTCAAAAAAATCAAAATGATAATAATAATAATAAAATAATACGTAAAAATAATACTAATACAAAGGAAATATGATGCAACAATAATATAATACATTAATACATAACGTAATCATATATAGATTCTGGCACTTGCATATAACCTGCAGTGCAGTAAGGTATGCTCTAAAGCTTCCACAGCATTACCACAAGCACATTCCACAGGTTACGATATTAAAACGAAACACGTAATTTCTAAAATTCCCAGGACCAGTTAAAATTTCAGTTATATTATAATCTGGTTGAATGTGCTTACACTTAAAACGTTGAAAACCTTTGGGAAAAGCATCTTTGCCCACTGGGTCATCGAAGAAGCAAGGTATTCAGCATACCAGTCAACCACAGTTTTATCCCAAGAAACATGCTTTCACTTGAAAGACTTGGGAACAGATATCATTAACTCAATATCACCATAAGTGGTTTGCTTTGCCAATCAGTCAACCTTTTAGTTAAAGAGAATAGCTTCGATCGTAAGTAAAATGAATATCTGTAGTTTGTTGAAACGCAAGTAGATTTCGAGTGTATTTCCACCACAAGTTTTTATGTTAATAGTATATCATGTAGAAGAAAGAAGAAAATAAAACTGTATAAATAAGATATTAAAAGTCTCATTATGATAAGAAGTTTAGCCTAGGAAACAGAATATTCATCTGGTATTCTATGTTGGACAGTTATGTTCTCTTTTCCATCTTCATAGATAACAAACAAGCGCAAGGCGAACCTTTCAATTCAATTTATTACCATCAGTGAAACAAAGGGTTCTATGTTTTTGAAAAGAATCATTATCATGGATAACAATTGTCATAGGTATTTTTTTGTCTGAAGAGTGAGGCAAATTTGAAAAAGGAAGCACCTTATTCAAGGCATTGCAAAGGTTGTCGCTTGAAAGTTTACCTCTAACATCAAGATCTTTATTAAATCAATAGGTTAGAGACCAGAAATAACGAATGCTGCCTCATAACTAACAATCTTGTCACCCCGTATAATCGGAAGGTGAAATCGTCTTGAAACTCTTCTAAGAAGTGTACAGTTTATTTTCTTCCTTAAAGAATTTCTTCAAGCTCTTGAGGCATATTAAATGAGTGGTACAATGGCTTAGTTATAAATCAGTTTCAGAACTCAGTTTTAACCCCATACGTGTTCTTTGAAATACGCAGTATACCAAAAAGAACTTTTACTGGATGTATAAGAAATATGATATTTCCACTGCAGTTTATTGACCACAACAATTCCTGAATATTTGGTTCACTGCACTTCTTCAGTAGGCTCACTCCCAAGAGTTAAATCAATATTATGAGAAGATATTGACTTTCATGTATCATCATAATTTTGAATATTAAACTCAAGCTTGTAGAGTTTTGACCATTCGTAAATATAGTTTAAGATATTCTTAGAATGAACACTTGTGTCATTTATGCTCTAAACACTGTATCACTTATATTGAGACCTCGCAAAGTTTGAATAATTCCGAAATTCAGGCCACTAGTAAAATGAACAGGAATCTTTGTTGTACAGGAAGAAGTTTCCCCTTTTAAGAAGCTCTTTATTGCATAAAGCAGGTGAATTGAATTAGACAGCTTAAAATATCAGCGTATTTTGGAGAATTACAGCCTTTTCTCTTTATTCGTCCTTTTTACTGCTAAGAGGATATAAATGATTCCATTATTCATTCAATAATTATAATGGGTATTTAGTTCTTCCTGGAACGAGAGCGCATAGGATACAGGAGCGATTTTTTAGACTTTCAGCTTGTGTTCAGGAAGTAATCAAGCTCTGAGTAAAAGTTGACCTAACTTACGAACTGACATTTCCATTAAGTCGCGAAAAGTAATAACTGAAAAATTCTTCGGCGTCCAATTCGTAGCACCTGTGTACTCGGAAGAGAAAAATTCAGAAACAGAAAGGAATTATACTGATGTTGGGAAAGACAAGATCCTGTAGCAGACAACAATGTGGAAGACAACATATTGAATACGAATGACTAACGAAATGAGGTAATAAAAGTAACTAGTTTCAGACAGGCTAAGCAAATAATTCCAGAGGAGGATACTGGAAAGTTTGACTAGAATTAAAAATACCAATATTAAATATAATAGCCAATCAAGACTTCAAAATGAACAAATCTATAGTCCATCTACGAGAATACATATTAATTAGGTTGGACTTCTGTTGCATGTTTATTCAGATGAGAATTTCTCACATGAATGAGCGCACAATGGAACATAAAAATGCAAGTGACATAGAGCACAATGAAGATCAAGTTGATTTCGAAATTCTAAAATTTCTGCTCATAAAATTTCCTGAATAAAAATATCAGTTGGATGACATTTGAAGAATGACTTAAAAGGTTTAGCATAAGCTTATCCGGAATTTTTGGTCGAGAATTACAAAAAAGTCACAAAAAAATTTCAGTATGAGGAAGATTACTCTCATCCATATTTTTCAAGGTCGTACAAAATGGTTAAAGCAGCTATCCTCAAATTGCCAACACAAATTCCAATACGAGATATTGAGGTACGACTCAACAAATATAATAGTCTATTTCGGCCATTATAATACATCAATATGGAACGATAATAATGCTATAATATTCTTGATTGAAATAGAAAGAAATAAAAGATGACAGAAGAGCTATGAAAAGGGAGATATATTAAGAGATTTTTAATAAATGATTAAAAAAATATTATACCAAGTTTTCGACCGTTTAAACAAGCACTATACCGGAATCTGTCAATATAATCAAAAATCACATTAATTCTGTTCTCATATGCAACAGTGGCTTTTATTTATGATATTAGTTATTATTCTATCTTACTAACATCTATTTATAGCCCTCTTAACACTCATCTCAGTCAAACTGACATGAACTATGTCATATCGACGATTTACAATGTTATAATACGAGGAATACGGATGCTAAAACCTCATTTAGGACTGCAAAAAAAATAATATTAATGGAATATTCCTAAAAGCGTTTTTGAAAGTCACAAAGGATTAACGATTATAAGCCATGAGAACCATCTTCTTACTATCGAAAAGTCGGTTACTGATGTTTTGGATATTATTATCGATGAAG